ATGTTTGGAGAAACCTAAAGACTCTACAAGAAAATTATTATAACTAATAAATTCAGTAAAATTCAGATTACAAAATCAACATATAAAAGTCAATAGCACTTCTATATGCCAAATGTGAATAATGTGAAAAAAGAATCTCATTTATAATAGCCATACATAAAATTAAATGCCTGGGAATTAGCCTAACCAAAAAAGTGAAATATTTCTATAATGAAAATTATAAAACACTGAGGAAAGAAATTAAGAGGACACAAAAATGGAAAAAATATTTTATGTTCATGTATTGGAAGAATTAATGTTGTTAAAATGTTTATATTATCCAAAGAATTCTACAGATTCAATGCAGTCTTTATGAAAATGCCAATGACATTTTTTACAGAAATGAAAAAACAGTACTAAAATTTATATGAACCCACAAGAGACCCAGAGTAGCCAATGCTGTTCCGAGCAAAAAAAAAAAAAAAAAAACAGAAGTGGAGAAATCATAGGAGCTGACTCACACTACAGAGCTATGATAACCAAAACAGTATGGTATTGGCCTGACAACAGACACAAAGACCAACAGTACAAAATTAAGAATGCAGAAACAAATCCACATACCTAGAGTGAACTCATTTTTTACAAAGGTGCCACTGGGGAAAAAAAACAATCTCTTCAATAAATGGTACCAGGAAAACTGAGTATCCATATCCAGAAGAGTGAAATTAGATACCATTCTCATGCCATATACTAAAATCAAACCAAAGTGGATTGAAGACATAAGTCTAATATCTCAAACCATTAAACTACTTCAATAAAATCCTGGGGAAAATCTGCAAGACATTAATCTGGGCAGAAATTATAGAGCAATACTTCACAGGCACAGACAACCAAAGCAAAAATGGACAAATACAAACACAACAAATTAAAAAAGCTTCTTTATAGCAAAGGAAACAAAGTGAAGGGATAACCCACAGAATGAGAGAAAATAGTTCCAAACTACCCTTTTGACAAGGGATTAATAACCAGAATGTATAGGAAGCTCAAACAACTCCATAATGAAAACAAATCTCGTAAACCAATTGACAGATAGGCAAAGGATTTGAATAGACATTTCTTAAAAGAAGACATACACCGCATGTTCTCACTCATAGGCGGGTGTTGAACAATGAGAACACATGGACACAGGGAGGGGAGCACTACACACTGGGGTCAGTTGGGGGTAAATAGGGGAGGGTCAGCTGGGGAGAGATAGCAAGGGGAGAGATGCCAGATGTAGATGATGGAGAGGAAGGCAGCAAATCACACTGCCACATGTGTACCTATGCAACAATCTTGCATGTTCTTCACATGTACCCCAAAACCTAAAATGCAATAAAATAAATAAATGGGAAAAATAAATAAATAAATAAAAAGACCTACAAATGGAACACAGGCATATGCAAAGGGATTTAACATTATTGATGAACAGAGAAATTCAAATCAAAGTTAAAATGATGTATTAACTCACCCTATTTAAAATGGCTTATATCAAAAAGATAGGCAATACCAAATGCTGGAGAGAATGTAAAAAGGGAGCCCTCAAACACTGTTGGTGGGAATGTAAATTAGTACAATCACTATTAAGAACAGTTTGGAGGTATCTGAAAAAACTAAAAATAGAGCTACCATATGATCTAGCAATCCTATAGCTTTGTATACACCCAAAAGGAAGAAAATCAGTATACCAAAGAGAAACCCACACTTCCATGTTTGTTGCAACACTGTAAACAATAACTAAGATTTGAAAGCAAACTAAGTGTCCATAACCAAATGAATGGATAAAGAAAATGTGATACATATACACAGTGGAGTACTACTCAGCCATAAAAATAAATAAGACCCATGCATTGGCAACAATATGTTGGAACTGGAGATCATTATGCTTATGAAATAAGCCAGGCACAGAAAGACAAATATCACGTGTTTTCACTTTTTCGTGGCACCTAAAAATTAAAACAATTGAACTCATTGACACAGAGAGCAGAAGGATAATTACCAGAGACTGAGAAGCATAGTGTATTGCTGGGGGAGGTAGGGTTAGAAAGAAAGAATTAGACTTACTGCTTGGTAGGACAACAGGGTGACTTATAGCAATAACTGTACATTTTAAAATTAAAGAGTATAGTTGTATTGTTTGCAGTTTAATGGATAATTACTTCAGTGGATGAATACCCCATTATTCATATTATACTTATTACACATTGCATACCTGTATCAAAATACCTCACGGACATTATAAATATACACAACTACTTCACACCCAAAAAAATGAAAATGAAAATTTAAACATTTAAAAAGAAAATATATATTTATGTAATTTTACATCACCTAAATCAGACTTCAGTCACTCTTAAAGTTATTAACTTAATCTGTCTATTTGTCCTGGTTATAGAATAATAATTTGTTATACATTAAATTCTGAGAATATTTTTTGTTCATAGAAAATGAGTCTTCAAATAGTTACTGAATATATCTTAGATACCATTTTATTTAAATAAAATCTTATAATTTTATTGTTTTCATTTAAATAAAAGATGACACTGAAACTAGATGACGTTCTTTCTCTCTTGTCTCTTCATTCAAAACATTCATATCTATTAGTGGCCGGTAAACCTCAGAACAATCCTTTTTGTAGTTTAGCCTTCTTCCTAGTCTTTTTCTTTTTTTTTTTTTGGTGTTTTAGGTTCTGGGGTACATGTGCAGATCATTCAGGATTGCAGCATAGGTACAAACATAGCAAGGTGGTTTACTGCCTCCATCCCCCATCACCTATATCTGGCATTTCTCCCCATGTTATCCCTCCCAAACCTCCCCACCCCCCACTGCCCCCCCAAACCTTCCCCAACAGACCCCAATGTATGATGCTCCCCTCCCTAAGTCCATGTGTTCTCATTGTTCAACACCCGCCTATGAGTGAGAACATTCAGTGTTTGATTTTTTGTTCTTGTATCAGTTTGCTGAGAATGATGGTTTCCAGATTCATCCATTTCCCTACAAAGGACACGAACTCATCATTTTTATGACTACATAGTATTCCATGGTGTATATGTACCACATTTTCCTTGTCCAGTCTATCATTGATGGCCATTTGGGTTGGTTCCATGTCTTTGCTATTGGAACAGTGCCACAATCAACATATGTGTGCATGTATCTTTATAATAGAACTATTTATAATTCTTTGGGTATATACCTAGTAATGGAATTGCTGGGTCAAATGGAATTTTTATTTCTAGATTCTTGAGTAATCACCACACTGCTTTCCACAATGGTTGAACTAATTTAAACTCCCACCAACAGTGTAAAAGCATTCCTATTTCTCCACATCCTCTCCAGCATCTGCTGTCTCCAGATTTTTTAATGATCACTCTTCTAACTGGTGTGAGATGGTATCTCAATGTAGTTTTGATTTGCATTTCTCTAATGACCAGTGATAATGAGCATTTTTTCATATGTTGGCCTCATCTATGTCTTCTTTTGGAAATGTTATCTGTTCATATCCTTCACCCACTTTTGAATGGGTTTGTTCGTTTTTTTCTTGTAAATCTGTTTTAGTTCTTTGTAGATTCTGGATCAGATGGGTAGATTGCCAAATTGTTTTTCCATTCTATTGGTTGCTGGTTCACTCTGATGATTGTTGCTTTTGCAGTACAGCAGCTCTGGAGTTTAATAAGATTGAATTTGTCTATTTTGGCTTTTGTTGCCATTGCTTTTGGTGTTTTAGTCATGAAGTTCTTGCCTATGCCTATGTCCTGAATAGTTTTGCCTAGGTTTTTTTCTAGGGTTTTTATGGTGATAAGTCTTATGTTTAAATCTTTAGTCCATCTGGAGTTAAGTTAATGTAAGGTGTCAGGAAATGATCCAGTTTCTGCTTCTGCATGGCTAGCCAGTTTTTTCAACAATATATATTAAACAGGGACTCCTTTCCCCGTTGCTTGTTTTTGTCACGTTGTCAAAGATCAGATGGTTGTAGATGTGTGGCATTGCCTCTGAGGCCTCTGCTCTGTTCTATTGGTCTATATCTCTGTTTTGGTACCAGTACCATGCATTTTTGATTACTTTAGCATTGCAGTATAGTTTGAAGTCAGGTAGTGTGATGCTTCCAGCTTTGTTCTTTTTGCTTAGGATTGTCTTGGCTATACAGGCTCTCTTTTGGTTCCATGTGAAGTTTAAGGTGTTTTTTTTCCAGTTCTGTGATGAATGTCATTGGTAATTTGATGGGGATAGTGTTGAATCTATAAATTACTTAGGGCAGTATGGCCATTTTCATGATATTGATTCTTCCTAACCATGAGCATGGAATGTTTTTCCATATGTTTGTGTTCTTTCTTATTTCCTTCAGCAATGGTTCATAGTTCTCCTTGAAGAGGTCCCTTACATCTTTTGTTAGTTGTATTCCTAGGTATTTTACTATCTTTCTAGCAATTGTGAGTGGGAGTTTGCTCTCTATTTGGCTATTAGTCTGTTATTGGTGTATAGGAATGCCTGTGATTTTTGCACATTGATTTTGTATTCTGAGACTTTGCTGTAGTTGCTTATGAATTTCAGGAGATTTTGGACTGAGATGATGGGGTCTTCTAAATATCCAATCATGTCATCTGCACATAGAGACAATTTGACTTCCTCTTTCCTAATTGAATACCCTTTATTTCATTTTCTTGCCTGATTGCTCTGGCTGGAACTTCCAATACTATATTGCATAGGAGGGGTGAGAGAGGGCACCTTTGTCTAGTGCCAGATTTCAAAGGGAGTGCTTCCAGTTTTTGCCTATTTATTATGATATTGGCTGTGGATTTGTCATAAATTGCATTTATTATTTTAAGATATGTTCCATCAATGCCTAGTTAATTAAGAGTATTCAGCATAAAGAGCTGTTGAATATTGTTGAAGCCTTCTCTGCAACTATTGAGATACTCATGTGTTTTTTGTCTTTGGTTCTGTTTATGTGGTGGATTATGTTTATAGACTTGCATATGTTGAACCAGCCTTCCATTTCCAGATGAAGCGGACTTTGTTGTGATGGATAAGCTTTTTGATGTGCTGTTGCAATTGGTTTGCCAGTATTTTATTGAATATGTTTGCATCTGTGTTCATCATGAGTATTGACCTGAAGTTTTCTTTTGTTGTTGAGTCTCTGCTGGGTGTTGGTATCAGGATTTCCTTGGTCTCATGAAATGATTTGGGAAGGATTCCCTCTTTTTGAATTGTTTGGAATAGTTTCAGAAGGAATGGTATCAGCTCCTCTTTGTATGTCTGGTAGAATTTGGCTGTGAACCCATACAGACTTGGAATTTTTTTGATTGGTAGGCTATTAATTGCTGCCTCAACTTTAGACCTTTTTATTGGTCTATTCAGGGTGTCAACGTCTTTCTGGTTTAGTCTTGGGAGGGTGCAAGTGTCCAGCAATGTATCCATTTCTTCCAGGTTTACTGGTTTATGTGCATAGAGGTCCTCGTAGTAATCTCTGATGGTCGTTTGTATTTCTGTGGAATCAGTGGTGATATCTCCTTTATTGTTTTTTATTGCATCTATTCAATACTTCCCCCTTTTCTTTTTTATTAATCTGACTAGCAGTCTGTCTATCTTGTTGATCTTTTCAAAACACCAGTTCCAGGATTAATTGATTTTTTGAGGGGTTTTTTGTGTCTTTAATTTACTTATATTTACTAGAAAGACTGCTCTCAATTCCTAAAGGTGCTCTAGTTCGAAATAAATATGCAAGGCATCACAGAAAAAAAAAAAGAATTCAAACTGATTTTATTAGCTTGAGTCAATCCACAAGCATAGAAGCAAGAAAAATTTTCTTTGAAATTATTGATGACGTGCTTTATCCTCTACTAGTTCTTTTCAATGGAGAAGTAAACATTAATGTAAAAGACTATAAAAATGGTTAATGAAGTCAGAACTACTGACCTGGTAGCTACTTGCCCTATGTAAGACTAAATTGTGCATAATTTATAACTTTGGGTTCATTGTACTTCCTTAATTTATAAATAGGCATTAAAATATGTTTAAACAATTTAGATATACTAGGTATCTTCTTTGTTATTTTGTTTTGTTTTTCTGTATTTGTATGTGGAAATAATGTATAATAATTTGTAATATCCATTGTAACTTCATAAAATATTTTTATAATTAGGAGTATTTAATTCACTAGCAGCAAATAGGCATTTTTCTATGTCTCATCATAAGAAAAATTTATTTGAACAAAGTCATTTCTTACAGCATAATAGAATTAATTATGCATTTCTATTCTTTGTTCTTTATACAGAATTAGTCTGTGAGCTTCAAAACTGTCATGGAAAAATAAAAAAGTTTTACTGCTTTATATTGACAGAAAACATGAAGATTACTTGTTTATTTGCTTCTTATGGCTTAGAAAAAGTAATACATACATGTAAAAATTGATATCTATGGCTATGTTGTACTTTGAGAAGAGATACTTTAAGAGGATTTAAAGTTAATAATATAGACATGTAACAGAATATGAATGTCCTAATATGAAACAAGGATATTTCCTTCTCCTTTTTGCGTCGTGAAAATTGAATGCAAAATTTTCTCCATACTCCAAGGAGATTTTGAAAATTAAGCTTTCCACAATCTGTAGTTTTTTAATTGTGTGTAATACATTTACCTATTATTGGAACTTTGATCAGACTCTGAAGAAGCTGTTCAAGAAGTGAGGCAGCTAATGACCTAGGATTAGCCAGCTAAATGGTTTGGCCAAAAGATCACTATAAGAAAAATATAAAAACCAGAAGCTTAAGGTTTCTGTGGGAAACAGAAGAAACTATCACTGACCATGAACAAAGCTATGAAATTGTCACTAACTGCCTAGCTGCCATGGATATAAAACTCTACACGATCTGTAATACAAGGACTAAACTGATACAGCCACCCAATGGCATGTGAAAATGACATTCGCCATTCATCAAGTACTATCTCCAGTATGCTGAGAGGAATAACTTTTATCTATACTTGCAAACCATTTCTAGTTGTAGGCTTATTTGAAGAACTACCTTTATGATGACTAGGAATATTTATGAGCCATCCTCCCTTTCTCCCCACCCTGAGAGAAAAAAGATAGTCCACAAATACCAGTTGAATAAGTAAAGAAGCCACTTAGGAAAATATCCAAATAATTTTGAGATTCCCTAAATTAAAAGACAGTTATTGGTGACACCAATTTAAAAATAGAATACATAGGATACACATAATCTACCTAAATAGGCATAGTCTTGGTGAATTAGCATCACCTGTTTCACAGTATCTGAAAAAAAACTATGAAAACTAAAGATAATGCACAAATAATATATACACAAACACACTGTAGTTACATTTGCTTGGTATTTTGGGGTGACTTTTAGTCCCACTCTCTGAAGGCTGTTTAGGACAGGACCTCTTTTCTTTTTACACTCCATTCACACTATAACACATAAATAAAGGGCCAGGCATGGTGGCTCATGCCTGTATTTCCAGCTCTTTGGGAGTTGGATCTGGGTAGATTACCTGGAGTTTGAGACCAGTTTGGCCAATATGGTGAAATGCTGTCTGTACTAAAAATACAAAAATTAGCTGGGCGTGGTGGTGGGTACCTATAATCCCAGTTACTCAGGAGGCTGAGGCTGAGGCAGGAGAATTGTTTGAACCCAGGACATGGAGGTTTCAGTGAGCCAAGATCATGCCATTGCAGTAGCCTGGGCAACATGAGTGAAACTCCGTCTCCCAAAAACAAACAAACAAAAAAGAAGTTCATCCAATAATCCTTCTCAGTAAGGAATTTCAGCCATTTATTTTCTTCTTATTTATTTCTTTTCAAGAGAACAGTAATGAAGGAAGACATTACATTAATTCAGCTACATTATTGGGTCCTATTGTCTCTAACCTAGAAACATTTCAACATGTATGTATTTAACAGCTGTCTTTGGATATAATCAATATACTAAGAACTTCACATTTCTAATGTGCACAATTTGATGTTTGGACATATGCAAATACCGATGATACCATCACTACAATCAAACATGTAGTGCATCTAACACCTCCAAAATTTCCTTGTCTTCTTCTGTTTTTTTTATCTGTTTGTTTTGGTGTTGAGAATTATTAACACAAAACCTATGTTCTTAACAAATTCTGAAGTGCACAATATTGTATTGTTAATATAAGTACTATGTTAATATAGGTACTGTGTCTAGAACCTATTCATTATGAATTACTGAAGCTTTATACCCATTAAACAGCAAACCCCCCAATTCCTCCACTCTTCCATCTCAGGCAACCACTATTATCTGGTTCTATGAGTCAGAAAATTATTCATACTTCATATGCATGGAATAACATAATATTTGTTCTTCTATAACAAGTTAATTTCACTTAGCAGATATTTCTCCAAACAAGACATACAAGTGACCCAGAGGTATATGAAAATATGCTCAACATCATTAATAATAGGGAAATGCAGATCAAAAATAAAATGAAATATAATCTCAAACCTATTCAGAGAGCTAATATCAATTTTAAAATAGATAAGTGTTGGCAAGGATATGTACAAACTGGAACTGTTATATACTGTTGGTGAGGATAGAAAAAGGTGCAGTTGCTATGGAAAACAGTATAAAAATTTCTCAAAAAATTAAAAATAGGACAACCATGTGATTCGATAATCTCATTTCTTATTATGTTTAAAAGGATGGAAGTCAAAATTCCATGTTTATATTAGCATTGTTCACAACAGCCAAGAAAAGGAAACATCTCAAGTGCCCATTGATGGAAAAGTGGATAAATGGAAATTGGTATATATGTACAAGTGAATATTATTCAGCCTTAAATACACACACACACACACACACACACATAGAGTAAATCTCACTGTTTGTGACAACATGGGTGAATCCCGATGATGTTATTTTAAGTAAAATTAGCCAATATGTGTTTGTGTTATTTTATTTATCATTTGTTTAATAATTGTGTGCTCTTCTCTTCTTCCTGCCACAATATATTAAGTACCCATTTATTTTAATTAAATTAAGTTATATAATGACATACATTTAAAACTACAATGTGATGTTTTATATATGCATACATTGTGGAAATGTATACCACAATTTAGCTGATTAACATACCTGTTACATAGTTACCTTTTTGGGGGGGCATGGTACAGGTGAAAATACTTAATATCTACAGTGTTAGCAAGTTTAAATTGTATAATACATTATTGTTAACTAAAGTCACCAAGCTGCACATTAAATCTTCAGAATCTATTCATCTTATAAATGCAAATCTGTACTCTTTGACCAACTTCTGTTTCATTTTTTTTTGTCCCTTGTCCCATGAGAACCAACCTCTACTCTCTGTTTCTATGATTTTGACTTTTTTTAACAAGAAAAATCAACTTTATATAAACAGTAAAACAAATCCATTTTAAGTATAGGTTGATGAGTTTTGACAATTGTATAACCTAGAATACCCCCAATCAAGATATAAAACATTTTCACCTTTTTTTCCTTTTATTTTTTCTTTTTGTTTTGTTTTGTGATGGAGTCTTGCTTTGTTGCCCTGGCTGGAGTACAGTGGTGTAATCTCAGCTCACTGCAACTCCCGACTCCCAGGTTCAAGCTATTCTCCTGCCTCAGCCTCCTGAGTAGCTGGGATTATAGGCACATGCCAACACACCTGGCTAATTTTTGCCTTTTTAGTAGAGATGGGGTTTCACCATGTTAGCCAGGCTGATCTGAAATATTTCATATGTAATTAATATCATGTAGTATTTGATTTGTTTTACAGTATTTGTTTTATTTAAATTAGTGTAATGCTCTTCAGGTTTATCCATGTGGTCACAGATGTCAGAATTTCTTTCTTAGCAAGGCTGAGTAGTTTTCCATTGTGAATACCACATTTTCTTTATTCATCTATCAATGGACACTTGGGGTGTTTCCATATCTTGACTAATGTGAAAAACACTACAATAAACAAGTAAGTGCAGGTATTTTTTTTTTAGATACTGATTGTACTACCTTTGGATATATATGAATAAGTAGGATGGCTGTATTTCCTTTTGACACACACACCCTCCCAAGACTGAACCAAGAAGAAATTGATTTCCTCAACAGACCAATTATGATTTTCAAACCCAATTCAGTAATAAGTAGCTTACCAACCAAAAAGAGCCCAGAACCAGAGAGAGTCACAGCTAAATTCTATCAGATGCACAAAGAAGAGCTGGTGCCATTTCTACTGAAATTATTCCAAAAATTAAGGAGAGGGACTTCTCCCCAGACCACTCTATGAGGCCAGCATCATCCTGATAATAAAACCTGGCAGAGCCAATTAAAAGGAAACTGCAAGCCAATATCCTTGAGGAACATTGATACAAAAATCATCAACAGAATATTTTCAAACTGAATCCAGCAGCAAAAAATTTAAAAAAAAGGAAAAAGAAAAGCTAATCCACTGTGATCCAGTAGGCTTCAACCCCAGGTTGCAAGGTTAGTGCAACTTAAGCAAATCAATAAATGTGATTCGTCATGTAAACGTAAATAAAGACAAAAACAGCATGATCATTTTAATAGATGCAGAAAAAGCTTTTGTTACATTTCCACATTCCTTTATGTTAAAATCTCTCAGTAAGCTAAATACTGAAGGAACATACCTCAAAATAATAAAAGCCACCTATGACAAACCAACAACCAACATCATGCTGAATGGGTAAAAGCTGGAGGCATTCCCTATGAAAACAGGTACAAGACAGGGATGCCTTCTTCTGCCACTCCTCTTCAACATAGCATTGATAGCCCTGGCCAGAGCAAGCAGACAATATAAAGAAATAAAGTGCATCCTTATACGAAGAGAGGAAGTCAAACTATCCCTTTTTGCAGATGACATAATCCTACATCTGAAAAACCCCACAGTCTAAGCCCAAAAGCTCTGTATCATGATAAAGAACTTTATTAAAGCTTCAGATTCAAAATTAACATACAAAATTCATTAGCATTTCTATACACCACAATGATTTGGCTGCGTTCCCACCCAAAATTTATCTTGAATTGTAGTTCCCATCATCCCCATGTGTCATGGGAGGAACCCAGTGGGAAGTAATTGAATTAAGGGAGTCAGTTACTTCCATGCTGTTCTCATGATATTGAGTGAGTTCTCATAAGATATGATGGTTTTATAACAGGTTTTCCTCATTTTGCTCAGCGTTTCCTCATTTTGCTCAGACATCATGTGAAGAAGGACATGTTTACTTCCCCTTCCACCATGACTGTAAGTTTCCTGAGACCTCCCCAGCACCATGGAACTGTGAGTTAATTAATCTTGTTTTCTTTATATATTACCCCGTTGTGGGTATGTCTTCATAGCAGCGTGAAAACAGACTAATACACACCACCAACAGCAAAGGAAGAGCTAAATCAGGAACACAATTCCATGCAAAATTGCCACAAAAAGAAGAAAATACTTAGGAACACAGCTAACCAGGGAGATGAAATATCTCTACAATGGGAATTACAAAACACTGCTCAAAAAAATTACAGATGACAGAAACAAATGGACAAACATCACATGCTCATGGATAGGAAGAATCAATATTGTCAAAATGGCCTTACTGCCCAAAGCAATTTACAAATTCAGTTCTATTCCTATCCAACTATCTAAAGCATTTTTTTTACAAAGCTAGAAAAAGCTCTTTTAAAATTATATAGAACTGAAAAAGCATCCCAAACACCCAAGGTAATCCTAAGCAAAACAAACAAACACAAAGCTGGAGGCATCATGTTATCTCATTTCAAACTATAATACAGGGCTATGGGAATCAAAACATCATAGTACTGGAACAAATACAGACACATAGATCATTGGAACAGAATAGAGAGCCCAGAAATAATGCTGCACACCTACAGCCATCTGATCTTTGAGAAAGCTGACAAAATGAAGCAATATAAAGAGGACTCTTGTTTTAGTCCATTTTTGCAAAGCTATAAAGACATACCAGAGATTGGATAACTTATAAAGAAAAGGAGTTTAATTGACACACAGTTCTGCAGGGCTGTAGAGGCCTCAGGAAACTTACAATTATGGTGGAAGGGAAAGAGCCATGTCTTACATGGAGGCAGGTGAGAGACAGTGGTGATGGAAGTGGGAAGAGCCCCTTATAAAACCATCAGATCTCATGAGAATTCACTGACTACGCTGAGAAACCTTGGGGAAATCTGCTCCCATGATCCAATCACCTCTCACCAGGTGCCCTCCTTGACATTTGGGGATTACAATTCGAGATGCAATTTGGGTGGGGACACAAACACAAACCATAGCAACTCCTTATTCAATAAATAGTGCTGGGATAACTAGCTAGCCTGTGCAGAGGATTGAAACTGAACCCCTTGTTTAGACCATATACAAAAATCAACTCAAAATAAATTACAGACATAAATGTAAAACCTAAAACTATAAGAACTCTGGAAGACAGCCGAGGCAATACCATCTGGACATAGAAACAGGCAAAGATTTTGTGATGAAAATGACAAAAGCAATTGCAACAAAAGCAAAAATTGACAATGGGAACTCATTAAACTTAAGAGCTTCTGTACAGCAAAAGAAACTATCAACAGAGTAAACAGAAAACCTAGAGAATGGGAGAAAATATTTGCAAACCATGCATCTGACCAAGGTCTCATATTCATCATTTATAAGGAACTTAAACAAATTTACAAGAGAAAAACAAACAACCCTATTAAAAAGTGGGGAAATGATGAATAGGTAATTTTTGGAAGAATCCATACATATGGCCAACAAGCAGATGAAAAAAATCTTAATATCACTGAATGTTTGGGCAATGCAAATTAAGCTCTCGATGAGATACCATCTCACACCAGTAATGACCATTATCAATGAGTCAAAATATAGCGGATGCTAGCAAGGTTGTGGGGTAAAAGGAATACTTCTACACGATTGGTGGTAGTATAACTAGTTCAACCATTGTGGAAAGCATATGTTGGTTCCTCACAGAGCTAAAAACTGAACTACCGTTTTGACCCCAGCAATCCCATTATAGGCTATGTACTCAGAAGAATATAAATCATTCTACCCTAAAGATGCAGGCACAAAACGTTCATTGTTGCACTATTCACAGTAGCAATGGCATGGAATCAACCTAAGTGTTTATTAAATAAATAAATTGTGGAACATATATGTCATGGAAGATTAAATAAAGAAATTGTGGTACATATATATCATGGAATACTACACAGCCATAAAAAAGAACAAGATTATATGTTTTGCAAAAACTTGGATGAAGCTAGAGGACATTATACTTAGTAAATTAACACAGGAACAGAAAACTAAATACTGTATATTCTTACTTATAAGTGGGAGCTAAATGATGGGAACTCATGGTCACAAAGAGGGCAACAACATATACTAGGGCCTACTTGAGGGTGGAAAGTGAAAGGAGAAAGAAAATCAGAAAAAAAAAAAAAAACTATTGGGTACTAGTCTTACTACATAGGTGATGAAAAAATCTATAATAAACCCTGTGACATGAGTTTACCTATATAGCAAAACTGTATATGTAACCCTGAACCTAACATAAAAGTTTTTAAATAATGGACAAAAGATTTTATTAGACATTTTTCAAAAGAATACATACAAATAGCAAAAAGATATATGAAAAGGCATTGAACCTTATTGATCAACAGTAAAATGCAAATTAAAACTACAATGAGATATCAACTTACTACGGTTAATACGGTTTATATCCAAAAGACAGGCAATAACAAATGCTAGCAAGGATGTGGAGAAAAGAAAATCCTCATACAGCGTTGGAGGGAATGTAAATTAGTACAATCACTATGGAGAAAATTTGGTGGTTCCTGAGAATCTAAAGTTAGAGCTACAATATGATCCAGCAATCCTATTCCTAGATATATATCCAAAATAATGGAGCTACCATACGATCCATCAATCGTATTGCTGGGTATATACACAAATCAAAGGAAATCAGTCTATCAAAGAGATACCTGCATTCCTATGTTTGTTGCTGCTCTACTGTTCACAATAGCTAAGATTTGAAACAGCAGCCTAAGTCGTTATCGACAAATGGATTAATAAAGAAAATGTGGTACATATACACAGTGAAGCACTATTCAGCCATAAAAAGGAAAGAGATCCTGTCTTTGCAACACAAGGATGAAACTGCAGATTATTATGTTAAGTGAAATAAGCCTGGCACAGAAAGACAAACATTACATGTTCTCACTTATTTCTGGGACCTAAAAATCAAACAATTGAACTCATTGACTCAGTGTAGAAGGATGGTTACCAGAACTTAGTGAGGGCTGCAAGGAGGTGGGTGTGGTAAATGTGTACAAAAAATTAGAGATAATGAACAAGACCTATTAGTTAATAGCACACAGGGTGACTATAACTAATAATAGAATTAAGCTATTATTTAAAGTAAGCAAAGGGTATAGTTGGATTGTTTGTAACACAAAGGATACATGTTTGAAAGAATGAATACACTGTTCTCCCTATGATATTTCTACATTGAATGCCTGTATCAAAGAATTTGTGTACCTGAAAAATATATTCACTTACTATGTACTCACAAAAAAAAAATTTTTTTAAAGTTCTGAAGTGTTTATTCAAGGAATGAACAGGAGATGAAACATGACTTTACCACTACAATCCCGAAGAAAAAGCATAATTGAAATAATGGCTAACCAGACATAGAGTTGGTCCAATTAAATAAAAGCAAACAGGTCATGAGCAAAGGTCATGGCAAAGGTTTTGCTGGATAGTCAAGGCATTTTGCTTGTTGGATTTCTGGGGGTTCAAAAGCAATAACATGTGCCTATTATGAAAGTGTTTTGAGAAAATGAGCCAAAGCTTTAGCAGAAAAACACTGAAGAAACTTTTACCAGAGAGTCCTTCTTCAGGACAGCAATGCTCCGGCTCAATCCTGTCATCAAACAATGGCAATTTTGCCAGAGTTTTGATGGGAAATATATTCACATTGTAATCCTTATTTAACTTCCTGTGGCTTTTCTTTTCTGGAAATAAAAAGCAATTTTTCTTCATTTAATAATGTAAGAAGAGTACATTGACATGGTTAAATTTCCAGGATCCTCGGTTATTTAGGGTTGGACTAAATGGCTGCTATCATTGCCTATAAAAATGTCTTCAATTCAGTGGAACTCATGCTGGTAGTTTGTACTTTAATTTTACCTTTTAATTCCTTTTTTTCACAATCTTCATCCAAGCTCTCTTGTAAAAAACAGAAAATCCATTATTATCTCTGCTGTCTCTGAAAGGTCAAACTTCCTATTTACAAAAAAATCCCATTTACCTGTCACTCCTGGGGATCTAGGAGTAGAGACCAATGATGCCATTCTACTCTTGCTACTTTTGCTGTTTATCTGAATTTATCAGAAAAAGAAATAAGGTGACTCATGTTTCTGTAGTATTCATATATATAAGGTACATAACTGCAAGTCAGGGTGACATCATATTATCTTCCCAGTTCTTTACAAAATACTTCTGTACTTCTTTTTTTTAATTGTACTTTAGGTTGATGGGTACATGTGCAGATCATGCAGGATTATTGCATAGGTACAAACATGACAATGTGGTTTGCAGTCTCCATCCCTCCATCACCTATATGTGGCATTTCTCCCAATGTTAAACCTCCCAAACCTCCCCACCCCCGCTCTCTCCCCACCCCCCCCAACAGACCCCAGTGTGTGATGCTCCCCTTCCTGTGTCCATGTGTTCTCATTGTTCAACCACCACCTAAGAGTGAGAACATGTGCTGTTTGGTTTTCTGTTCTTGTGTCAGTTTGCTGTGAATTATGGTTTCCAAATTCATCCATTTCCCTACAAAGGACAGGAACTCATAGTTTCTGATGGCTGTATAGTATTCC